GCTCTCAAAAGGCATCTGAAAAATCCAGATTTGTATCTAGAATATATTTTTTAATATAGTAAAAAAGCAAAACACCAATTTCTAAAATGGACAAAAACATCTGAGCAGAAATTTCACAAAAGAGATACTCCCAGTTAAAAGGTTAGGAAATTATTCTCAATATTAAAGACATCACATAATAACAAATCACACCCACAATGTAATTCCGCTACCGACATCAGAATGGACTAAAATCATCAAAGACTGACAATACAAAATAGGGAAGATGTACAGACTGAACTCTAATTTATCGCAGGTAGAATACAAAACAGTACAAACACTTGAAGAAAAAAGTTTCACAGTATTAAGCACACACTTAAAATTAACATAAGACACTGCAGTTGCACTCATGGGTATTGGCCCAAAAGGGGAGGGGGAAAAATCCACACAAAAGCTGTGTCTGAATGCCCAAATAAACATTCATAGAGCCAAACTCAGTAAACAGATTACAGACATACACACCAACAGAAAAAAAGAATAGAAATAAAAGAAACCCTGAAACCAACAATTACATGACTGTTATCTTTTAAAAATTATGCTGAGTGAGAGAACTTTTGCAGTATGACTCATCTACTGTTGATGGGATTCCAACATGGTATAACCCCCATACAGAATAATCTGAAATGACATACATATTTCCCCCCTAACCCAGAAATCTCATGTCCAGGATTGATCCCCAAGGTACACCCAAATAACATGAAAATGGACATTCACAAGGTTATTCACTACAGCATTATCTAAATTGCAAAATATTGGCAACAACCTAGATAACACCAATACATAAGAAACTGCTGAGTAAGTTATGATTTACACACATAATGGAATCTATACATCTGTGTAGATCAATAAGTGAAACAATAGAAGTCAGGAATGAAGAATTGTTTCATACCTACAAAGTCTAGGAAGATGGAACTTTCTAGAAATGGAGAGCAGCGATGGCTGCACAATGTCAATACACCTAACACCACTAAACTAGAAACTTAAAAATTATTCAAATGGCAATTTTTATGTTGCTAAATTGTATGATTTAAAAAATGAATTAGATCCCTGTGTCACGATATAACATTTTTATGAAATACTAGAAAGTGAAAAGAACAAAGTGCAAATGAGAAAACTATGCTACCTTTTGTGTAAATGAAAAAGAAAAAATAAAGTATACATGTATCAGCTTATCATTACAAAAAGAAACACAGAGGAGGTGAACCAGAAACCCCTGAAACTGGTAATTATAGAAATGGGAGGAATGGGATACAAAAGGAAATATGTATCTTTTGTATAATTTTGTGTTTCTGATAAACATGGCCAACATATTGATATTCTACATAAAGATAAAAGCCATGAGAATGGGAAGGGGCATTAAAATAAACTTTGAAAGTCAATCAACCAAATAACCTAAGTTCATATGAATACCATAACTAATTTATGCAGAAAATAAGACATAAAAGTGAGAAGAATTGAATAAGAACACAATTTGTCTTATTCTGGCTTGAGCGGGATGGCTAAGAGAAGTAAAGTACTATATACAAATTCTCCAGTCATCTTAAGTTCTTTACTACTGTGAAATGTGAAATAGGCAAAGCAATTCTGAAATTACTTTTTATATAACACAGGAGAGAATAAATGTACTGACAATGTTGGTCATTTAGAAGTGATCTAAACAAAAATATGAAATGAGAGGTGCAAAGAAGCTGAACATAAAGATTTAAACTCATAATTTCTAAGCCACTATATGCATGTTGCTGTGAATATGTGTATGTTTATATGTACAATATGTATCAACAAGCATATTATGTCCTAGTTTTGTCTTCTAGGAGCATCAGAAAGGAAAAATAATCCAGCAGGCAATGAGGACACCTCCCCCCCCACCCCCAAGATCACTCCTGGCAAGGACAAAGGAGCCTGAATAAAAGAGCTGCTCAACCTAGGTCAACTTGAAGGCCAAATTAATTAAGTAATGAAATAAATAATTTTTAAAAGTAGGACTACATGAGTTTATACCATTATTAATTATAGAATAATGCTGAAAGCTGAATGGTAAATGTGAAGGGAATTGGGGGAGGGGGGTGAAATCAGCCAAGCATCATCAATGAATACTATATCTAGAATAAAGTGAGATGAGAAACAAGTTATTTATGTCTCCTCATTCACCGCTTCTTGTTTGCAAAAGAAAATGGGGGGGTGGGGGGGGACATACAGAGGAGAAATTACCAGGACCATGGCCAAGACATCAAAACTGTATCAAAATGAGGGACAAATGACCACCTGCACCCCCAGAAGTTAGGTGCTTGTCTTTCTCAGGGTATCACATAATCTATCAGGTCTTCCAGACAAGCATGCATGATCTCAATTTAACCTCAAAGAAACTTCGAAGACAAAATGAAGAAACTTGAAGGATAGGGAGCTTAGAGAGGGAGAAGGGTTGTGGTCTCCAAACATGTCTATGTCATAAAAGAAAAGGCTATGGCACCATTCCCGGGGAAAGGAAGCTAAAAATATGTAATAACAACATGCATTACTTGATTAGCTAGATTAAGTCTGTACAGGAAGTGGAGAAAAATACTGTAAAAGACTATTAGGTCAGCTGACAAAACTGGAATATGGATAATTGAGTTGTATTGCTGTCCATTTATGAAGTTGAAAACTCTATGATGGTACATACTATAAGAGAATGACCCTACTATAAGAGAAAGGGGCAAGTTACATGTAATTTACCTTCAAATAGTTCAGAGAAGTGGGTGTCACAGGGACGGGTAAAAATGCACATGAATGCAAATAAAACAAGGGGTGACCTCTGACTAAGGATATCTAGCTGTTCTTTATACTCTTATTTTTGTGACTTTTGTAAGATGAAAATCATTTCCAAATGAAGTTTTAAAAGTTCTATGGAAAAAAGAAAATGCAGACAGCCAACAAGCATATGAAAAACTGTTCAACATCACTTGTAACAAGGGAGATGCAAATTAAAACTACAATGAGATACCACCTCACCCCAGAGAGAAAGGCACATCTTAAAACAATAAGCAACAACAAATGTTGGTGAGGATGTGGAGAAAAAGGAACTCTCCCCTCCACTGCTGGTGGGAATGCAAACTAGTACAACCACTATGGAAAGCTGTTTGGAGGTTCCTGAAACTGCTAAATATGGAGCTTCCATGAGACACAGCAATCCCACTCCTAGGTGTCTACCCAAAAGACACAAAAACATTGATTCAAAAGGAAACCTGTACCTCCATGTTTATTGCTGCTTTATTTACAACTGGAAAGACATGGAAACAACCCAAATGCCCAAAAGTAGATGACTGGATTAAAAGATGTGGTACGTATACACAATGGAATATTACTCAGGAGTCAAAAAGATAAATGCATGCCTTTTGCAGCAACATGGATGGAGCTGGAAGGGAGCATGCTTAGTGAAATAAGCCAGAAAAAAAAAAAAAATACCGATGGTTTCACTCATAGCAGGAGCACAAAGGACGGGGTGGTGGGGAGAGACAGATGATGACAACTAGATACAAGAGACATTTTACGGGGGGTGGAGTGGGAAATGGATCAAAAATGGGGTAGAGGGGTTTGTGCACAGGACTATGGTGATGGCACATGGGTGAATTGGTGGTGGAAGTCCACAGGGATTACACCGTGATGGAAAAAGGCACAAAATGATGTAAAAATAACTATCATAAAAATTTAAGTAAAATCAAATTTTAAAAAATTCTATGGAGATAGTTGTCTACTATGTTTAAAATATAAAGGTATACACCATTATTAATTGAAGGTTTTACAAAGAAATAGCAATAAATAAGGCTTAGAGACTAGATTTGCAGATCAAGGACACAGAAGGGGTATGTAACTCTTTTCTGTCAGAGCAGACACCTTAGAGCATGACAGAGCCTGGCTTGAAGGAATATATATACTTAAAGATGCATTTATTTATGCACATAAGAACTGGGATACAGGCAAGAGGTGAAGGGGGTGAGATAATTCACCAGAGAGAGTGGGCAGCTGAGCAGACAGATCTACTGAAATACACAGCTAAGGGGAGAAGCTGGCATGGCAGGAGAGGCCTGATGCACCATGTGGGTCAGCAACCTGGCTAGGTATAGAAATCATGCTGTAGTGGCTGGCGATAGCTTGATAGTGCTAAGACATAACCCCTTGCACCACCGGGGAAGCCCTGAAGGGACATTTTTAAGAAAGTTTTCTAGCAAAATTTCAAGTAGGTAGAAATAGCAGATAAGCAATAAAGAGACACTGGAACAACTACAAGGAGACAATTATGGGGTCCTGGCTAAGAAGGTAAGATCAGTAACAGAAAGTAGAACAAATCCAAGTAACTTGAAAACAGAAACTCATATAGGGCCTATTTTCTAAATGTATCAAAAAGGGGAAGATTTAAAAACAACTCAGATTTCAGATCTAGTTAATTGAGAAAATTATGATATGACTAACAAAGAAATTTAACTACCTACGCAAAGCATAGTTGCTTTTTTGACTATCAGACAACTTTCTCTGTTATTTTTCCTTTCCTGATGTAGTAATAAAAGTTAGCAGATGAGTAAGATGAAATGTTATTGGTCAGCATAAGCCATATGGAAAGCAAGTCATCACAAGATGAAGTAGTAAAAATAGGTGGGACTGATTCAGACTTTCTAAATTCTGTTACAATATTCACACTTTAGGAAAAAGTGGCAAGAAAGCAGTCCCGTTTACCTATAGCATGCAGTTTCCCTCCTCCTCATAAAAGATGACGGTATGTATCTGTACTTACATGGACATACACCTATTTACTGAATTCTAAGATCATTCATTCATTTAACTAACACCATTAAAGAGAAAAACATAAAATAGAGAACAATTTTATGATTAAACCACAAATTTAAAAAGGAGGAGGGCAGAGCAGGATCTTCAGAAGGGTGAAGTCAGAAAGGGCTATGAAGGATCAAGTCAAAATAAAACTGAATTACCTGGCTAACCAGTCAAATGACGTTCAAGTGGTCTATTTTTATTGGTCTCTGACTCCACTGTTCAGCAAGTATTTTGATCCTGAGGACAAAAAACAGGGGAGGGGAAGTTGAATTTCATTGCCCTTTCTTAATATAAGTATCATTACTAGTCATTCACAAACTTTTCCCATCTTTCCCTTCCCTTGATATACAAAAGAAACAAAAAGCTGTCAATATGAGACTTTTTTCCAGTTATTTGCACTGATGGCTAATTCATTCATATACATTTCTTAAAGTCAAGTATGGAATATACAATATATTCTGTCACCATTTGTAAACAAGGACAATGCTAAGTGAGGTGGAGGAAACCAACTCCAAATCCTGAAAAGAAATCAAAGCAGATGAGTAATCTGAAATTGGGGTGTCCTTGACTGTCTAAAAGAAATTTTCAACAATTAACAAAACAATATTAATATACTGGCAGAAGTTATTGCTTAAATACCCAAATCCAGAAACAGTAGTGGGTAGGTGGATGGAGGGATGGAGGGATGGCGCAAGCAAACAAAGAAGAAAAAAGCCCTGGGAGTTTTCCTTTAAGGAAAAGCTGTATTCTGATAAATGGGAAATTTTTTTATAGAGATTTATTTACTTATGCTCACAAGACATGGGGTACAGGCCAGAGATGCAGGAAGGTGAGAGGATTCACCAGAGACAGAGTAGGGAGCAGAACAGGCAGATCTACTGAAATACACTGCAAAGGGAGGTAGCAGGCAAGCCAGGAGAGGTCTGCCACGCCATATGGGTCACCTCCCTGGCCAGGGATCGAACTCACACTGCAATGGCTGCCAAGAGCTTTACAGAGCTTCACTTTAACCCCCTGCACCACCAGGGAGGA